CCACTGCTAGCCAAAATTAACACAACCACCACTGCCCTCGCCACCGCCAAAATCAACACAACCAGTCACCAGCGCCAACACAACCACCAATGCCATTGCCAATCAACACAATCAGTCAAGACAACCAATCTACTGCCAACCGAAATCAATACAACCACCACCCAAGGCGGCACATACGATGGCACCACTCAAGACCTCAGCTAGCTCGTCTAGCTGCAACTTGGTCTCAACCCACAAGTAAGAATCCCAAATCACAGTCGCTTATGGTTTTTCCTCCTCATTGTCCTCCTCTAGCTCCTGCCATCCCCTTGTCCATATCCGCAATGGCACATCGAAACTTTCCCCCACTTGACAGATTTATTTCACTTGTATTCTTTCACCACACGAAACTAATTTGGTGATTAATTTCCACAATCCTGGAACTCCAATTATATTTGGCAAAATAACATTTATTCCCTAATGGATCAGTGATTAATTCGGCCACCAGTGTCAGCGAGCTTCTTGAAATGCCAAATATGTACCAATCCACAATTATTATAATCCACAATCCATTTCCGACCTTAGAATTTGATTACAAAAATTCCATCCCCACCTTTTACCCAGAAATCCCACCAGTCATCGCAAATTGCTTGCACTGTTTGTGCATCTCTTATAAGCAATTGATAAATAAAAAAAATCAAAAAACCACAGTCGCTGCTGCCAACGTCTTCCCTTCAATGGGTTGTCGACGTCGAAGAGAGAAAGGCAGAGACGGGCCTAAACCTCAACAGCATACCGACGAATGGGTCGTGATGAATGGGTCACGACGCTGACAGTAGTGTCGCCTCCCCACGCACAAAGGCTCTCCTCCGTCGCTGATTGCAGTGTTTGAGTGGGTCGCCGACATCGAGAAGAGAGAAGGAAGAGATGTGATTGGAAAAAGAGAAGGAGGAGATGGTTTTGAGCGTTTTCCGTGTTTTCCAATTTTTGGGTGTTTTGTACTGAAAACATCCAAAACGTAAAAAATGACGTTTTGTGTTTTCAGTGTAATTTTTTTTTTTTCAAAAATGCGTTTTCAAAAATAGGAAAGAGAACGCATTTTCACTGTTTTGAAAAATCGAAAACATAAAACGATTTGAAAACAGTAAAGAGAACAGGGCCTAATGGTTTGAAAATGCAAACACAGTTCAGACATACATTCTTAATTGCTTTAAATGGATATGCCCCTACAATTTACTTGCGGTGTTATGTGGTACTTATTAACATTTTACCATTGTATTTAGGTAGATTCTTATTCATGTTCGAGTTAATCCAATTTGAGTAGGTGTGAAGGATTATTGAAAATCCACCCTTAGGTGTACGACCTTATTGGTTTGGCTTCGATTATACAGTTCTGAGGGCCTTTCTTTTCTGTTCTGTATATGTAGACCAGATTTTGAATAAAAATATTGTGTAGATTTGGTGGTTGCCCATGTACATGTTTTTCAAATTTCATTCGTCGATTATTCCATGCCATCACACTAATAAATAAAAGGCCTTGAAAGGTCATATTTAGATAAAATGTTTGTCAAACATTTGAAAGTGTCTTCCCTAAGCTTTTTAGCAAATTGAAGTGTTCCATGTGTTTCCTTTCCCGTTTAACATCAGATTTTGTAACCAAATTGAAATTGTTTTAAAAATACTAGTACAACAAGAAGGTTTCCTGATTATAAATGTCTTGCCAAGCTCCCCAATTCCAAGATTCCATCACAATCTCCCTTTGAGGAAGCCAATGCAAAGTTTCTTCCATGCCTCTTTGTCTGGCTGATTAGCCTCCAACTTGGCTTCTTCAGCAAGAGACTCCTATAGATGCGTAAAGTCATTCAGGTATGATAATGTGAAGAATTAGAGAATTGAAATGCAGGTATGATATTGCTGCAGCTAATGGGGATTTAGAGATCGTAAAAGAGCTCCTGAAATTAGGTGATAGTTTGTGTCTGGTCAAGGGAAAGGATGGAAGAATTCCCCTACACTATGTAGCGATCAAAGGCAGAATACAAGTCATTAAAGAACTGATTTCAGCCAGTGAAGATAGCATAAGAGAAGTGACGGCACGTGGTGAAACTTCTCTCCATCTGGCTGTGAAAAACAATCAATTCGAAGCCTTTAAGAGCCTGGCAGTGTACCTGAAGACCTATGATAAAGAGGATATATTGAATGAGAAGGATGCACAAGGGAACTCCATCTTGCATCTTGCAGTCTCCAGAAAGCAATACGAGGCAAGTATTTTACCATTTGATACGCATGTTCACAGTACAAGACTTTACTTTCTTCTTTAATCCTATTTATTATATGGAATTTACGTCCAAAAATAATGACAAAATGTTGGTTTGTTTATCCACGGTGGGATAAATATAGATTTGATCCCTTTTTCTTTCAGTTTTCTATTCTGCTTTAAGCGATTTCCGCGAGTGAGTTAATAGGAATAATTTGGAATTTGATGAACCAACCCAGCCGGTCAGTTGCAACAAACAATAATGAAGAAATGAAAATTTCTCTGTATAATCTGAATATAAATGTATTAACAGGTTGTTGAGTTGGTGCTGGATGAAAATTTTGTTAACAAGGGAAAGTTGGAGCTGAATTCCTTAAACAAAAGGGGTCTTGCACCAATTGATGCATTACTATCAGAAGGGGGTGGTTGTGAAATTGAACAAATGCGTAGTCTAGCTGGGGCTTCAGGAGTTGAAGACATGCACCTAGACCAACAGGCTATGCAAACAGAAAACAGGACTATTGCCACTCAGGATGCATCAGCACATGGATTGAGGGGAGAGAGGCCTCCAAAGCCCTCTAAAAAATTGCAGGAATACTTCAAATATGATGAAAGGATCAATGATCTCAGACAATATTTTATTCTCATTAAGAGTTGAATTTGGGATGTTGAAAGTATCGATGAGACCATCCAAAATCGGTTCAATATATTGATCTAAGGCAGCAGATTTCTCTCTACAACAATGGACAGAAGGTTGATTGTGGCTGCTCAGAAGGGAGACGTTCATCAACTGCTTAGTCTGGTCAAAGATGATCCATTCTTAAGGCTGTTGCGTTATTAGGTGGAGAAACTCCATTACATATTGCTTGCATGGGAGGCAGCCTTAGTTTTGTCAACGAGCTCCTAAATCTGAGGCCAGAATTCACAAAAGATTTGAGCAATCAAGGTTTCAGTCCCTTGCATATTGCTGCAGCTAATGGGGATTTAGAGATCATAAAAGAGCTCCTGAAATTAGGTGATAGTTTGTGTCTGGTTAAGGGAAAGGATGGAAGAATTCCTCTACACCATGCAGTGATCAAAGGCAGAATACAAGTCATTAAAGAACTGATTTCAGCCAGTGAAGATAGCATAAGAGAAGTGACGGCACGTGGTGAAACTTCTCTCCATCTGGCTGTGAAAAACAACCAATTAAGAGCCTGGCAGTGTACCTGAAGACCTATTATAAAGAGGATATATTGAATGAAAAGGATGCACACGGGAACACCATCTTGCAGCATCCAGGAAGCAATACGAGGCAAATACCAACATCTTATCCCTTGTTTGGCAGGATGAATTGGACGAGATATACTGTCTATTATGACGAACCCATTAAATATGCTTTTGGTGTTCTATTTTAGAGTTGTGATATCGTTGGGTCTATGCATTATACTCAGAATTTTATTTATTTTTTGTTAAATCAGGTTGTTGAGTTGATGCTGGATGAGAAATTTGTTAGGAAAGGCTTGTTGGATGTGAATTCCTTGAACGTATTACTATCAGAAGGGGGTGATGGTGAAATTGAGGAAATGCTTAGGCTAGCTGGGGCTTCAGTTCGACAGACAACACAAACTGAGAACAGGGTCGTTCCCACTCGTGATCCAAACGATGAATTAAGGAGAGATAGGCCTCGGAAGCCCTATAAGAAATTGCAGGACTACTTCAAATTTGACAAAGCTAAAGAGACTCCACGTGACGTCCGAAGTACATTGCTTGTGGTAGCTATATTAATCACAACTGCAACTTATCAATCCGTCCTTAGTCCACCTGGTGGTGTTTGGCAGGAAGACTTTAGCCCTACCAGTAACAGTAACACCACACAGCCACCAGCACATACTGATGGAAAGGCAGTGATGGGAACACAGAATTCAGTTTCATTCGGTCTATTCCTGATTTTCAACTCAATTGGGTTTTTCACATCTGTTTAGATGATATATTTTCTCACTTTTGGATTCCCTTTACAATTGGGATTGCGAGTCTCACTTTTGGCACTCTCAGTAACGTACGATACTTGTATGATCGAGATGGCAACTGGCAATCTATCCCTATTATTTGTTATCATTTCCATTGCTACGCCATTAACGATGGGCATTCTTTCCAAAAGGTTGCCAGACTGCCTAAGGAAGGATTATTCTTCTAAATCTTTTTATATTTTTAATCTTTTCAGTTTGTGTGCTGTTGGCCAATACAGTTTTTAAGATCCTCTTCAGCAATAAAGTTCGTGTAATAATTAATTAATTACAGCTTTAATATGGTAAAAATCACTATTAATCATTTAACTCAGATAAATTTCAAGTTGGTCACTAAACTTTATTTTATTACAACTTAGTCACTAAACTATTTTCGTTTATATAGTACTAATTTACAAATATATAATTGCACATAGAAACATAATACTCAAGTCATCTATGCATTACTTGAGTCTTCACACTACCTTTATGAATATGGAACATTCTATTAATCCCTTCCATGTTCAATGTTTATCAATATCAAACAATCATTTAGGACGTTGAACGAAATTGATGTCAACAATATAGATATTTATTCGATTATTCAGATGTGATTGCATAGTTGCAAGGGTCAATTTCGAACCAATGTGTAAAACAACAACGGTACATTTTTTGAAATTGCTGTCTAAAAGTAGTTCAATTGATCTAAGGCTCAGAAAAAAATGTCTCTACAACCTATGGACAGAAGGCTAATTGAGGCTGCTCTTAACGGAGATGTTCATTAGCTGCTTAATCTGATAAAAACGATCCTTTCTTGATGAGGGCCATTGCCTTATCAGGTACAGACTCTCCAACAGATTGCTTGCATGGGGGGGCAGCCTTCATTTTGTGAAAGAGATCTCAAATATGATGCCGAAATTAGCAGAAGAATTGAACCACAAGGGTTTCAGTCCATTGCATATTGCAGTAGCTAATGGGGTTGAGAGATTGTAAAGGAGATCGTAAAAATAGATGGTAGCTTGTGTATAGTTAATGGAAAAGATGGATTAATTCTCCTTCATTATGCAGTGATCAAAGGTAGGACACAAGTGATGAGAGATCTGCTTTCAGCCTTTGAAGATAGCATAAGAGAAGCGACAGTTCGTGGTGAAACTTTGCTCCATTTGGCAGTGAAAAACAACCAATATGCAGTCGTAAGAAAACAACACCAGGCAAATGCCACCATCTCATCGCTTGTTTGGTGGAGTGGAATGGACTGGAATTGACTACCATGAGCCGGTTAAATACATCCTTAATTTTCCATTTTCAAGAGTTATGTTATAGTTCAGTCTGTACATTATAATCCGAATAAATAGTTCGCTATCAGGTTGTTGAGTTGGTGCTGAATGACGATTATGTTTCCAGGGGCACATTGGAGCTGAATTCCTTGGACAAAGGGGGTCTTGTACACCATTTGATGCATTACTATCAGTCCAGAAGGGGGTGATAGTGAAATTCAGGAAATACTTAGGTTAGCTTGGGGCTTCAGTGCTACAAGCAAATGTAATAAGGAAATAAGATTGTTCCCACTCGTGATCCATCAAACAACGAATAAAGGAGAGAGAGACCTCGAAAGCCCTATAAGAAATTGCAGGATTACTTCAAATATGATAAAACTAAAGAGACTCCAAGGGAATTCCGGAATACAATGCTTCTGATAGCTATATCAATCATAACTGCAAATATCAAGCTGTGCTTAGTCCACCAGGCGGTGTTTGACAAGACAACTTTAGGCGGACTAGTAACACAACCAATGATTCCCAACAGCCACCAGCACCACCAGTGCACACTGCTGGAAAGTGTTGGAAATATGACATTTTTTGTTATCACTTAATTAGTGTAATTTTGGTTTAAATTTGGTTACAAGATTTTGGTTGAAGCCCATCTATGTAATGATGAAAATTAGGCTATGTTTGGGCCTACTACAAGTAAAGTATGGCTGTCTAGTATGGTAGAAGTATGGGTAGTTGATAGATTAGTTGGTAGAATATCTTGTAAAATCTACCCAAACTTGGCTATATATAGTAGCCGTGTAAAACCATTGAAAATATGAAGAAAATATAACAAAAATGTAGTCTTTAAAAGCTCTTGTTCTTCACCTCTGTTTCTGGTCTAAAAAACCAGCAGGGTGTATATATTTATGTTATGTTTTTTATGTGGATATCCAGTATCTTGTCCAAGAACCGGTATATATGCTATGCTTTATTTGAAATCCGGTTTTTTCACTCCTCTTCGAACCAAGAATTCCAACAGAAAGGCGATGATGAGAATGTAGAATTCAGTTTTGTTCGGTCTATTCCTGATTTTTCAACACGATCAGGTTATCTATTTCTGTTTTCAGATGATATATTTTCTCACCGTTGGATTCTCTTTACAATTGGAATTGCAAGTCCCCCTATTCTCTCTTGTAGCAACGCATGCTACTAGTATGGGTGCTATGGCTCCTGGCAATCTCTCTCTATTGTTTCATATCATTTCCATAGCTATGCCATTCCTTACTGGCATTCTGTCCAAGGTAGCCAGAGATTACTAGAAGAGACCAATATTTGTATAGGGCTAGTGCTCGAGGAAGGTTCATTTCCTACTTTGTTCTTCATCTTTTAATATTAATCTTTCCACTTTGTTTATCCTATTGGCTAATATCATGGTATCATAGTTGTTGAGATCCTCTTCAGCAATCTCTCCATGCATGTACGTCGGATTCATTTTTCTGTCAAATGATAGAAAAACAGAAAATGATTATCGATCAAAAACATTAATCAAATCCTAATTCTCAAATATAACCATCCATGTTGAAATAAATGAGAATGAAAATAGCGGAAGCATAAACATACCTATATCCATAGGAGTCTGATTCTTTGCCTGGATGGGTTACGATCTTCTAATTGATTGGTGATCTTCACTTCAATTTTGCTCTCTATTGATGGAGATGTAGAGAATCTCAAGAACACACCAACAATTGGGGACCATGACACCATATAACAATAAGATAATGAATGGTCATTATCTTTCATTTGTTTCAAATCGGCCACTCATCAATCTAAAACAAAATTTCGGTCTCTACACTTTAATTCCATGAAACCTAATACTCATTAGTCAAAATTCATCTTTATTAGATCACTTTAATTGACTAATATTCTTTAAATAATAGCACCACACATTTTAATATATTACGTGTGGCCCCATATATGTTAGAATTTTCCAACATCAAAATCGTGAAATTTGGACAATTTTGACAAATGAATGACCGGTGAGACTAAAACTTGAGCCTTTTCATGCTTGTGTTTTTTTGTTCAAGTTTCGGTCATTGAAGACTTTGAAGCAAAATGTGACACACGAAGGCAGTAGGAATCTGCCACAGGTCAGGAACAGGTGGACTAACTACATTTTAATTTAATCTTCACTTATGTCATGGTGCCATTCATTTTTGTTATCAGTTATACCGACACCTCTGAAACAGACGACAAAAAGAGCTCTTCACTATTTCATTTTTATATTGAAAAATCATATCATATATTTTAGTTTTTGTGAAATGAGTATAATTATATCAGTATTACAGTGTATGCTTACATCAGAATGAAGAAACCTGGGAAATAGTCTATTGGTAATACCATATTATTCCTTGATTTGGTCAAATTAACTTGTTTGCAAAGTAGTTCTTGGTATATATGTTACACCATCAATAGTGAACTTGTTAAAACTTGGGTGTGACTGGAATTTCTTGTCGAAGTAATTGAAGAATTCTAATTGAAGTGCACATAAAAAAGAATTCAATTTGGAATGTTATAGTTCTATATCAGGTTGAAGTTTTATTTTGGAAGCCCATTGAGAGTTGTAATTTGTTTTGGACTCGATTTTTTATTATCCTACTTCATCAACAACTCTACAGGAGAGTTTGGACATCTCCTACATATTCCCTATAAATACTAGGTTCTTCTATACAATTTTATATGGTGTGAGAAAATTGATTACCAGAATTATAGGATATATTGTAATTTTTCTCTTCTCCATTATTTTTGAGTCAATAAAATCTCTTAATTCATCTGTCATATTCTTGTATTTATTATTCTTTTGTTTGATCATATACTTCATTATCATTTTCCATATAACTTTAACATCTTAATCCAATAGTTTGTTTCACAACAATTGGTATCAGAGCAATTCTGCTATCTTGTCTGTTTTACAACGATGTTTGATTTGTTCGAAGTTTCAGTTCGTGATGACTTCCATGAAGTATGACATTTCGCTATTGGATTGGAGCACTAGATTTTCACTACGGCAGGTTACTCGCACAACTGAATTTAAATGATGCGTTGCTGGGAATTGACAAGATGTCCACAACTTTGACCGTGAATGAGAAATTACGAAAGGATAAGAAGACAGTTTCTCGCATTCATCTTCATCTATCAAATACTATTCTTTAGGATGTTTTGAAGGGGAATTCAGCAGCTGCTTCATTATTGATATTGGAGAAATTGTGCATAACTAAAAGTTTGACAAGCAAGTTGAACCTCAAGCAGCGTTTATACTCTCATCGAATGGCAGAATGGGGACCATTGAAAGATCACCTGACTATATTTAAAGTGATTATCGCTGATTTGAAAACTTTAGAAGTAGAGTATGATGAAGAAGATTTAGCCTTGATCTTATTGTGTTAGTTACCCGCTTCATTTTCTTCATTTAGAGACACGATCTTGTATAGTCGTGATACTCTCACCATAGAGGAAGTATATGATACTTTATATTCAAAAGAGAAGATGAAGTATCTGGTTTCGAAGGCCAGAGATGGAGAAGGCATGGTTGCTCATGGTGGTTCTGGAAGGGGCATATCGAAATCTAAGTTCAGTAATCAAATTTATAACTACTGCGAGAACAAGTGGCACTTGAAAAATGATTGCTACAAATTGCAAAATAAATAAAGGTTGGCTGCAAGTCCATAT